GTAAACTTTGATTGCCTTGATGTGGCTCAGTGGTTGAGCATCAACCTATGAACCCAAAGGTCATGGTTCGATTTCCAGTCAGGGCACATGCCCAGGTTGTGGGCTCGATCCCCAGTAGGGGGCGTGCAGGAGGCAGCTGATCCAGGATTCTCTCTCATCATTGATATTTCTCTCTCTCCCTCTCCCTTCCTCTCTGAAATCAATAAAAATATATATTTTTTAAAGTAAGTTTTGATGCACATAAGAAATTTAGGTCAGGGGTTATATATGACAGTTTCCCTTTTGTCAAGTGGAGGATCTAATTTATTATTGCATTTGGTTGCACAGTATCAGGAAAAATCCTGATTCACATAGGTAAGAAGTTACAAAATTGTGGTAGTTTAAAAATGCATGCCAATCCATCCACATCCTTCCTGCTGAGCAGCAGCATCTATGCCCCCTCTCCTTGACTCTGGGGCTTGTGCTTGCCCATTAAAGCTCTTTATCCTGCAGTAGCCTTCTACCTTCATTTAAGGCCCAGGGATAGGGAACATCTGGCCCATGGGCCACAAAAGGTCAGAGAGATCATTTGGTCTGGCCCTACCAAGGCCCTAGGAGTGAGTTAATTAAGTGTTTGACCAAATATCGCAGGCTAATCGTTAAGCTGATGACTCTGAATGGCCCGAGAATGCTGTTATAGATATCCACGTGGCAGGAAACGGGTTCCCCACCCTGACAGCTGACAGGAGGAGAGGCTTTATTCAAGGTCTTCTCCCAAATGAGCTAACCTCACAGCAGAATTTAAATTCACCAGTGATTCTTAACACTTTTGGTATATAACACACACAAGGGTGTCCACTGACTTTTATCAGAACTTTTAAAATAAGATCTAAAAAGTTACCCTGACCTATGAACCAGGAGGTCAGGGTTTGATTCCCGGTCAGGGCATATGCCGGGTTGTGGGCTGCGGGCTCCATCCCCTGTGTGGGGCGTGCAGGAGGCAGCCGATCTATGATTCTCTCTCACCATTGATGTTTCTATCTCTCCCTCTCCCTTCCTCTCTCTAAAATCAATAAAAAAAAAGTTTTAAAAATAATAACGATATAAAAATAAATGAAAAGTTAAGCCAAATAAAAGGCTATGGATTCCTGATACACTTCCACTATACCCTAGAGTTTCTTGAAACATGTTGAGGGGGGAACAGATTCAATCCATCCAGCTGCTTCCCTTACCCAAGAGTCAATGGGCCCAGAGGAGAACAGTGCTGGCTGGACTGAGGGTTCCAACTCCCAGGTTGCTTCTGGATACACAAAACGGGCTGGTTTCTTCCCTTTATACACATTTTGGCCTAAAAGCCTCCTTGTTTCCCATAGGGCTCCTCACCAGGGACCCATCTGCAGATGAACTGTTAGAAAATATTATTCCCCCCCCCCCCCACACACACACACACAGCTGTAGGAGAACTGAGCTCCAAATACTAGTACTAGGTCAGCCTAGACTTGGCCAACCCCGGCCCTCCCCATGCCTCAGGCTGCCCTCCACAGCACACAACCCGCTCTGGGCAGGTCACTGTCTCCTGGGTCTCAGCCCCCATGGGGAAGGCGACCCCACAGCTCAAGGTCCTAGGGTTCTGTGACAGGGCCTAGGCAGACCTCCACCTCCCCATCCCAGTTCCTAGTGGGGCTCTCGGCACCTGCCCCTTAGTCACAGGCTGGCAGTGGGCAGCAGAAATATATTTTGAACAGACACCCATATCCTGTCCTCAGAAAGAACCTCTTCCCATTCCTGGAGCAGTGGAGGTGGAGGGTGGGGGCGCTTTACACTGGCAGAGTTGGCAGCTAGAAGGCGCATCCTCAAGACCCCAGCTTCGGACATTCCGGGAACCCCTGCTCTTGCTGAGGGCTCCGCCTGCGTAATTCTGGGGCATAATTGTCCTGTGCCCACGGGAAACCCACTCTGTTTCGTCCCGTGGTGCAGCTCAACGGGCCAAAGGGGCCACTTGTTACTTCCCGTGGGACCTCTGGCCCAGCGCTGTGCCCACTTAAAGTAACATGCAACAAGTGAAACGAATTTTAATAGTACCCCAATATAGCTAACATATCACCCCACAGCATGCATTCCACAGAAAACCTCCTCAGTGCGCTATGTTATTCTTTACTAAGTGGTCAGACCCCGGGGCGCATGCCCTTCACGCAGCCCGCCCCAATGAGGGCTCACGCGGGCCCGCGCCCCCCGCCACACACACGC